ATTCTTTTCATCTGTTAAATAGTATTTGATAACCATTGATTGAATTTTCTTTTTTAGGATTTGACAATGTAGATGCAGGAATAGCTGCTTTTGTTTTGAAATCTCCTCTATGTGAATTGAAGGGACATGATGGTATATTGCTTTCCTTACATTTCTTTTTTTTTGTTACTTTTTCTATTTTCCTTTCATTAAATTTTTCCTTTTTTCTCTTACTCCAACTCTGTTTTTCCCACAAAGGTGCAGTGATTGCTGCTGATTGGTTCACTTCAGGGAAGCAGGTGGTCACTGCTTCATGGGATCGCAGTGCTAAACTGTGGGATGTGGAGACTGCTGAACAAGTTCACCAGTTGACTGGTAACTGTGTGATTGAAGTGTTTTTTGTGTTTGATTTGATTTAACTGTATCACTCCAAAGATCTCATTGGTAATTCTCCTTACTGTCTCCTTACAATCCCCTAGTTGATATTTTCCTTTATTCTCATTACTTGTCAACTTGATATTGAATGGATTTTGAAAGGAGAAATTATGTCTTGGTCACTCATGGGAGGTAAAGGGTTAAATAGAATGTTCCACCAAGACTATTGCTTGCTATTTGCAGGTTGGGCAACTGTAACTTAACCCTTTAAACATTAAGAGTGACTAGCATCAAATTTCTCCCTTCAATATCATCCCTGAATCACACGTTTAGGTCATGAGAATAAAGGAAATGATCACCAAGGAAAGAAGCTTTTGATTGGTAAACAAATTCTCCTTGTCAGCACTTTAGGAAATGTGTAAAGAATAGTATGGGGAATATGTATACTGATTTTAGTGTGTAAAAGGAATAAAAGGTTAAGTATAGACCACTGTTGTTGATACTGGTTAATAAAGAGGAAGCTAAGCTGGTGTTAAAACCAGGAGGATAATTTCTCTTAAGCTCAAAAACAACTTTACTTTATATTTGTATTAATTTTGCTTACTAGCCATAAATCTAATACTTTGAATGCAATCCAAGGAATGAAATATACACAGGATAATTTCACATTTTATCTTTTAGGTCATGATCAAGAACTAACACATACCTGTACCCACCCCACTCAGCAACTGATTGTCACCTCGTCTACAGACACAACATTCCGTTTGTGGGACTTTCGGACACCTTCCATTCATTCAGTCAATGTGTTCCAGGGACACTCTGAGTAAGACAAAAATCAATTGCTTGGAAATTTTTAAGAAAACCTGACATATTTCAGCTGCGTGGGAAGTGAGTGAAGTTGTATGGGCAGTGGTGTAAACTGATTCTATGAATTATTAACGGGAGAAGTCTCGTAACTGTTCTGTTATTACTCTTGCAGCTAAGTGAAGGAAAAATGTTCTGTCTATTTAATTTGCCCCATCAAAAATTCATTTACAAGTGTTGTTGTTTGTTCATAGTACGGTCAGATCAACTGCTTTCACGACAAAGGATATCGTTGTAAGTGGCAGTGATGATAGAACCGTTAAGGTTAGTGTTCCTTTCTGTGTTGTTTGTTTGGGGACAGGTGTTGTGATTCCAGATGCAGGGGGTTAAGAATTGTGCAAAAAGGGACTGGGAGACACTGAGCGGGGATCTGGGGAAACTGAAAATAGGGGTATGACATAGGAGGTTATGGCTCAGGAGATAGGAATGGGAAAACCGAACAGTTGGGGTTGGGAATTATGATGTAGCGTTATCAGGGTAAAAGGTGTTGAGGCCAGTGTCGAGTGGTACTATTGGAAGGTTGAGGTCTGGATGTTGCCGAACGGGTATCAAGCCCAGGTTGGGGAGGATTGAGTATTCCGCTTTGCAGAGAGGAGGGAGTTTTTTTTAATATAGAGCAATGGAATTCGAAATTAAGGGGTCAGAGTGAAAGATAGGCACTGGTTCTGTCATGATTGGTAGATTGAATAAAGGAAGTCTACATAAGGCGAGCAGGCAGTTTTAAAGAAATCTGCTCACGCTGTTTTCGCTGCGCCTTCTGGAGACTCAGTCTGGAAACATTTTCTCTTAGGTCTGGGATCTGAAGAACATGCGCTCTCCTTTGACAACAATCAGCACAGATTCGTCTATTAACAGGTAATTGAATCAAAGCACATGTAATGGAGACAAAACTGGGGCTAAGGCACTCGATCAGCAGTTTTTCCTTTGTACTCAGGCTCTTTTTTCAAGTGGCTTGTCTCAATCTGAAAAATCCTCAACTTCAAAGTTAAAATAACCTCACAGTACCTTCCAAGAATGCATTCTGTTCTAATTATTTCAATAAATGTTTAAATTGTTTCCACAGACTCTCCGTATCACCAGTAAATAACGTGATCGCCCTTCCTCACGACAATCGGCATATTCGCCTGTTTGACATCAGTGGAGTGCGACTCGCGCGACTGCCTCGTAGGAATGGTCAGGTAAGTGTATGTCTGTATCTTGAACTCTGGTTGGACTCTATGCAACAGTTTGATAGAGCAATTTTCATTTCAATGTCGCTGGTAACCTGGGATTGCATTGGTCTTTAGAGTACCGCGCTATTTGATTGGTCTAGAAAACTCGCGCCACCTATTTGACCAATCAAATGCAAATCAAAACAAGTCACGACTTTTGTAATCACGCCTTCTTGCTCTTTTGGCAAAGAGCTTGTATTTACATCAAGTTCTAATTGGCTTCCTGGAAAATTTTCGTTTGTCCTGATTCGCTGTTATGATTTCTTTCGTGATGCTCGTCGTAAGTCTTCCCTTCAGCAGCACCAACTGCATGGTTTTCTTTGAGTTCTGATTGGCTAGATAAGTTGCTATCATAACTGTGATTGGTTAGACTTGGTGTCCTTGGTTTTTGTTCTCCCAAATTTTCCCGGAAACCACTCCACTGAATTATTCTGTTCAAATTTCAGGGTCATCAACGAATGGTTTGCTGTACTTCTTGGGGAGAGGAAACCAGCGCCAAGGCTTGCAATTTGTTTTCATGTGGTTTCGACAGAAGAGTGCTTGGATGGCAAGTCAGAGAAGAGAAGGATAAGTGATTGGGAAGAGGTTGCGGACGTGAAGCTGTCACGCAATGATTTACGCCATTGCTCGTCACGCAACGTTCTTCAGAAGAAGGAAGAGTCACGTGCAAGTTGGAGGAGTGCTGCATGTTAATTTACATTTTAAAGGAATATTTTACACTTGAGCAAATGTTGCGTAAAGCAAAGAAGAGTGGAATTTTAAATGTACGGGTCTAGTATAATTTATTTATAATGGCACCAACGAAAATGTAAGTTTAAGAGTGTGGTTTTCACTTGGATTTATGAGGCCGAGTTGTTTGTACGACAAATTTGTCTGAAATAAATAAGAATGAAATCATATCACGGTGTGCATATAGTTTAATCCTGTCAAAACAATTTGTGCAGGTGAAATTTCACTTTTTGGTCGCCTCTCCTTATGAGCCTTTTCAATTCCTCCTCGATGCAATTGTGACTTGATGCTTTCCACCGAGTTTTTGCCTCCAAAGAGGCTTTATATTAATTGTGTTTTTGCTCTCACAGGAAATTTTAAGTCAGACTTCTTACCGTAACAAATATTTCGGAAGATCTCATCCAGTTAAAAAAAAAACAGTTGTAAAACAACAAAGTGGATACATGAAAATACTGCGTTTTTGAACCTTGAAGTAGACGGAATTTAAATCCAATATTTTTCTATGGAATCTTCAGGGACAATTTTCAACGTAAAGACGATTCGGTTTTCGATCTTTTCATTCAAGGCAGAATTCGCTGAAAGTTAAATCAAATCTATCGGCTGCAAAACTCTCTTTAAATCTTGGGTGTCCACTATTCAGGAGCCTCCATACGGTTTTTGCTTAATGTCGGCGCGTGCGTCAGCGAAACGTTTTTCTTGAAAATTTGTATGTTTTCGCTTTTCAAGGTCACTAACAGCCATCAAAAGGCAATAAGCAAGGTTCGGACTATCTGTTTTTGTAGTAAATATTATTTAAGTTATTTTCGATATTAAGCCAAGGCTACACGAAGGGAGGCGCTCACCAGCGATAATTTGGCTTTGCCTTTGATTTTCTTCAATTTGCGTCGGTGAAATCTCTCAAAATTGTCACTGTTTGTGAAATTGCCCTGCAGATTATTTAAAACCTGAAAAAATTGGGGTTACCAAGGCAGTTTCCTCGCTATTTGCAATTTTGTGTTTTCTTCCTCTATCTCAAATTTGGTCTTCTGATTTTTTGTTATTAACATGCAGTGAAGGAAGGGCACAAATTTGTTCAACGCTCCAGCAAATCTTGGGAAAACGCGATAAATCTGTTTGTTTTGCATGTCTCGTACTACGTCCGCGCCCAGATCTCACGCGGTCAAAAAAACCCATTTTAAGGGTCGGCAGAAGCTATTTTAATTTCCGACATAGCTTTTGATTGACAATTGCATGTTAATTGACGAACCTTTTTCAATTGTGCGCAAGGTTGTCTTAAGATTCGATTTTTTACTTTTTCATCCGTGGGTCAGTCAGTAATGATTTCTTTAGTGTAAAGGAATGGTAACCGAAAACCTTTCACTAAATTTGTTCCTTTGTCCCGCAAACAAAACAAACGGAAACAATACAATGTCAATCCAAAGTCAATGAATGTTTGAATACTTGACGTATTGAAAGACTAATCTTTGTCGCAGCAATGATCCGGTTTTTACGCGAAGTAGTTTACAATAGGAAAAATTATACGGCAAGGCAAACTGTTACACGTACTATAAAAGAGCTGTTTTAGTGCTCAGGGTTATTATTCTTTGGTCGTACAAGAACAGGCCGGGCATTATCTAGATACTTATTCGCGAGGTGAGGGGACAATTGTTGCTTCACCGGTTTTGTGTTTCCGCGTTGTTCTTTTAGTAGACATTAGTAGAGTCAAATCTCTAATGTGACCTAACACTAAAGGCCTAGGCTTCTAGGGGTTTGGTTTACGTTTTGTCCTTCAATTTTGTTTTTTCTTTTCCTTTTAAGTACTGATAACTTACAGAGACAACAAAAACCATGCATAGGTTGATAATGACTGCGCTTGCATTGTTCATTCTGATCCTACACTTGGCGTTCTCTGCGAACCAGTCGGTAAGTAATTTTTTTCCTTGGTTCTTGAAGGAGTTCCAACACGTCAAAGGCAATTGATAAATCACGAGTATTTATTTGCTTAGGTTTACTCAATAATCATCCTATGCGGACATATCGAGAGGCGCCAGTTGTGCAAAATCCGAAGCCGACACGACATACATCGAGAGCGACAGTTTTCCAGTCGATACTTAACTTTCAACGCTGAATGTTATTGCGAAGATAAAACCACGTTATAATAATGAACCACGCTTCGTGTAAACCCTACAGTACCACGTCCCAAAATTGTTCGTCTCAGTTTTTTAGGCAATTTATACCCAAGAAAACTACTGGATATCCTGACATCTTTAATTTAACCTTGTCGGTAACCATAATCTTCTTCCGTGACGTCACTATTAGGTAAATTGTCAGTCTCAACCAGCCTCCTGTTGCTCAGTGCATACAACTAGTTGTGCACCAGGGTTCCCTGGCATGCCTGGGCATAACGGAAGAGACGGTGCTAGAGGATTAATGGGAGCACCTGGTAAAAAGGGACCTGCCGGCCCTGTAGGACCTAAGGGTGATCAAGGTCCCGCAGGAGCACCAGGGAAAAAGGGCTCCCATGGAGATCAGGGCCCTGCTGGAGTAGTTCCTCAAAGGAACTGGAAACAATGCACGTGGAAGCCTCTGGAGGACGGCAGAGATTATGGGTTGATAAAGGTTTGTTTTCATCATTTTTGTGGACGTCTAACGTTTTTGTTCGTTTACCGACTGTTGCAAAGCCCATGTGAAATTCTCTCTCTCTGTTGCAGGATTGTGTCTTCGTTAAAAAAAGCTCAGACACCGTCTTGAAAGTTGAGTTCGACGGCGATTTCAGAGTAGCCTTTTGTAAAAGGTGTTGTAAACGTTGGTATTTCACTTTCAACGGCATTGAGTGCGCTAAACCAGCTCCCATCGAAGGTATTGACGCCATTTGGCGAAATCATGGTAGAACAGACACCAACGTTCACAAGCACAGTCAAATCGGAGGATACTGCGAGGGGATCGGATCGGGAACCGTTCGCGTGGGAGTGGCGGTTGGTGATTGTCCAGGATTCGGAAAAGGTTTTGACGCCTACACCGGGCACAAGTCTGTCACGCGGATCATGATCGAAGAAGTCCCTAAACCACAATAAATGTACGGCCCTAAACAAAATCAGCCAGTAGCAGATTAGTTCCACTTGTCGAAATTGATAACACTGTAACTTAAAAAGAAAAAGAGACATCTTAATTCTGTGGGAAACGTAGAACTTTGATAAGGTGAAGGAAAGCTATTATGAGTTCCAATAAAATGAGCCTAATGGAACACTCGCTTTTACCTCATTATTGGCAATGATGCGCATTTTTCACGCACGTCTCGCAAACGCACCCGAGCACCATAGAGTATCCACCAACAATAAATTAAGTTGAAATTTTTACTACTCGAAGAGTTCACAATTTGAAAAATCTGAAACAAACTAAGGCAGATAGGAACGAAAAGAAAAAAATTGGATAAGCGACAGGTTGTCTCACCAGGGGCTCAAGACCCAAGGCTATAAGCTTATGGCGTCACATATTAGGCAACAAGAGAGTCTCACTAAAACAACAGTCTCCAATTTTTTTGGCCGGTTTTAGAAACTATAGAGTCCGATCAAAGACACTTATGTCCGATATTAGACGCAAGTGTCCTAGTTTGGTGTACGTTTTCTTTTTCTGCCGAAAACTTTACTGTCAAAAATTAAATTGTTCGTCGTCTTGACTTCCCGGCCTCTCCCCAAGCCCTTCCGCTTCCTCCTCATCCCATAACTTTTTCCACCAAGGAAGCTTGAGTCCGCGCATTTCCTCGTTGTGACACTGCTGTGCCCTGGCTATCACGGGCGCTGATCTTGAAGTAAAAGAGTCAAGAATGTCGGGAGTAACCTCATGAAGCTTTGGAGAAGCTGTAAAAATAATAACAAAATGAGTTCAAAGAAAAAATTTACACTAAGTTGGAAGAGAAAAGTAGCTTTCAACTCATTCACCACCGCAATTCGTCCACTTGGTTCGTACATAATTCTTAAAACAACAGACCACAAGAAATGCTTTCTTTAAGGCGATTCCAAACTTTTCTCCAATGTTCTCAACAAGCGCTAATTTGAAAGTTTCCTTTACATACACATATCCATTGCCCAGTGACTGATTTCTAGGTACACTTTTTTATTGTTTCGCTTTCTCTGAATCGCCGAAAAAAAAAAGAGAAAAAAAGAAGAAGAATTTATTTTTCAGTCCCCAGTCACCTAAGAGCTGATCTGCCTCCACGTTCAGCCTGGCCAGCAACGCTTCCCTTCTCTGTTCACTCTTTCTTATCTTCATGTTAGACAACACGTGATTGGCAAGAAGTGAAAACGCCTGGTGAAAAAAAAATGGAAAGTTTAAACTGAATGTTTCTTTTCAAACTAAGAACTCCACACTCTCAATTAAAACCCGGAAATAAGTACTCGGGGCGAAAATGCCCAGCAATTACCAACAATAGTCCGAAAGTGGCAACTATAATACAACCTCTCTTGACCTTATCGGGTACCCATATCCTACCTTTTAACTGTAACTGAAATGTAGCTCGGCCGTGGAAGGTCTGGGTACGAGACTAATCTTGACCTTACACTTCACACACCCTACCCCTGAAGGTTTCTTTTCACCCTTTAACTCCAATAAGTGATCAAGAAAGAATTTCTCCTTACACTATCTTTACAATATCAACCAGATAAGTGATGAGAAAAAAGAAAAATATCAATTTGGGGATAATAAGTTGATCCAATATTAAATCCTCTGAGCAAACATTACAAGAATTGTATGGTTGACAGTAAGGAGAATTACAAATTTTATCTAGGAGTTAAGGGGTCAAAAATCGCGTCTATCCCTCCCATATTTCAAAACTTATTCTGTAAAGCAATCTTCTGTAGCACAATCCTCGCTTCAGGACACTTCAAACAAATTGAAAGTAACTCAAATGCACCAGCCAGCTTGAAGGCTTTACCCTTTGCATACGATTAAAAAAAAGAGGTACTCTTCTTTGGTAAGTACTAAAAGATTACCAATCGGTAAGTTAACCCCTGTGGTACCTTTTCGTGAAGCTCTTTAAATTCCTCTTGGGTTCTGTGTTTTGCCTTAGAGAGACAAAGAGACAAACAAACAAACAAAAACAACCGTTAACATCAGCGGGCTTTGACGCACGTTGAAGGTTCTTCGCGAAATTTGAGTTCCTTTAACCACCCTAAAATAGCTTGAAATCCTCCAATAATCCTTCTCCAGTGCAGAAAGTAACAAACAAAAACGAGAAAACTCAGTTCTGAATGGTCAAGGGTGGCGAAGAGTAACAAGGACCACAAATGACGAACTTAAAAGATGATGAATGACAAAATTTAAAGTTGCAAAACTTACTGGGAACCTCTGGCGACGCTCTGCGATCATGTTCTGTAGTTCGGCGCGTCTTGCGTCAGTCAAACCAGGCACAACGGGATAAGGAGTTTTACGATCTGCTTTATGCTGTTGATATCGGCGAAACTACGGTAAAAAATAGAACAATTAATTAACAAAGGAAATTAATTTCCAGAAACCAAATGATTTTCATCCTCGCCTTTAAAAATGAACAAAAGTGAATTGTAGTGGCCGCTTTTTGAGATTACAAAGAATAACCAGGGACGAAGTTCCTCTTACTTTTTCCCGCCCAGGAATAACCAATCTTTATATACTTTCTTTTTCCTTTTTTTTTTTGGAACAGCCTCCCCCTTCTAACCCATCTTTTTCTCCTTTTCGCACGTCCCCCTCCAAATCTCACCATCTCTCCCAAAGTTTCCAAAGATAAAAATTCCCACGCTCACTTGTCGCTGGATGGTAACAGCTGCTCTCTCTCGAGTTACTTCCTCGTTCCGTTCACGATATTTCTTTCGCGCCACCATGCCGCGAAACGCCGCTTGTATTTTACTTGCTGCCTTCACTTGATTTTCTTCCATAAACAAGTTCACTTCTCTGGCAGGTACGCTTTCCAACATCTTCAGCTGTTTTTGCATGGACGATCTGAACTCGTTGATTCTTTTCTGTTCCAGAGCCAATTTGCGTTCTTCCCGCCGCTTCCCCTTCTCCTTTACTCGCTCCTTGTCCAAGCGGCGTTGTCTGAATTTTCGCTGAAGTAGAATGATTCCCAACTCCGCTTGTTTGAGGCGCTGACGCTGTCTGGAGCCGCGGTAAAATGCTTGGATAGCCGTGGCAGCGCGAGAGAGTCTCTAAGATAAAAAATCACATAGAAACTATAACTTAACGGGAATCTTCAAAATTTACGTCACTCTAAAGTTTGTTCTGATCTTTTGATCGATGGAACAACTTATACCTCTGGAATGAAAAATCAGCGATATCAAATCGCAAAACTGCTGATACATCTGAAACTTAAGGCACTCAACGGTAGTGCCCCCTAAAATTAATTAAGGACAGATACCCAAAGAAATTGGAACCAACGACCTTACAATGCAAACTTATACTTAATAAACAATGCAAACTTACACTTAGTAAACCGTAACCCGGCGTTAAAAAACAATAACAATACCAACTGCTTTAAGAGTAATCGTAATTTTCATTTTTCAACTTGCGTACCATTTGCTCAGCTTGAGCAATCGAACCAGCCTCCAGTAAAGACACAAGTCTCTTCACATCATTATCAAACCCTCTCGCCTTCCACTTACTGAGATACGCCTTCAAACCCCTAAAAAGAAGATGGTTACTTGACATCTCTTTAGAATAATACAACGTTTATTGCTTGACACTGAGTCAGATGAATAATATTGAAAACTAGTACTAAATGCCTCACCTCGCTCGTTGGGTTCTAGATCACCAAGACCTTGGGGAGGGGAGGGAAGGGTTTAAAGACCTTTGGTTTTATGTATTGTATCAGTCATTGAATAGGTTTGAGGGAGAAGGGCCTCTTTAAATTGATGATCCCTCCTTTATTCTAATGATCTTAATACTTGAGTTAGGGGTGTTATTGTAAGGAGAAATTAGAAGCAAGTCACTCCTATTCAGTGGTCACAGGGTTAAGTGCTTTACTACAAGTTGTAGAGCCATTTCAAACTCACCTGTATCTTTTTGAGAGCAAAATTTCAAGGATAGGTGGGTGAACATCTGTTGCTGTCAAAATGAGGTGAATTGATGCCCTATACAAGTAAATGTTGCCAAATAATTTTGAGTATAAGAAAGCAAGAAGTGGATTCTGATACATGAACATCTTTAAAATCCTTCATTTCACAACATGGAGTTGCCATAAATTGTAGATTAAATAAGAAAGATGGTAAATTGTAGATTGTGACTTTCTGTTAATAACTTTCTTCCTCAATACCAGGCCTTATGGTTAGTTTTATAAAATATGCAGTATGTTGACTGACAATACTAGTCATATTGATACACTTTTATGTTCTGCCACCAGTGCATTTTTATTTCAACAATTATTGTTCCAACAAAAGGAAGTTTTTCAATGCCGATCTGACTAGCTATTGTGCATTTGATAGCAGGTATCTTTGTTTACAGAATTCTGATTCTGCCAAATCTGTTGATGTTATTTGGACAAAGTCTTCTGCTAGCAAATAGCTTGAATGTCAGCCCTGCACGTGTACCACTGATTGTCACATTACCTGACCGCACAACAATTGAATGAAGGAGATAAGTTTCTGAAAAAAACTGGTGCTGAGCAGTTGGGAAATTTTATAAAAATTTGGTCTTCTTAGCTGAGTTGATAATGTAAATTGGCCACCATGAAGAGTTTTGAAAGCTGACATTTTAAGCTTCACCCCAATGGAGCAAAGGGCTTGAGTGAAGGGCCCTGATAAAGGGCTATTGCTCAAAACAACAGCTTTAGAAACTCTTGGTGGCCAATTTACATTATCAACTCAGTTGTTAATGTCCAAACTGTCTTGACAGCACAACAGTCAGCCAGTAACAAAAGTAGACCTATCAGGGCACAACAATGCAGCCACAAGCAACAACAAACACCTTTAACAATGCCAGTTCTGTTTCACAATTCACCTTGCAACTGAAGATTCTTCAGAGGCTGATATCTTGAAAACAGTCTCATCCAAAATGCTGTAAAGGACATTTGGTTCAAGTTTTCCCATCAAAAACCTGACGAAACATTTTAGATGACATAATATCAACTAAAAACAGTCTTGTCGACTATATGTCATTACTTAACCCTTTCAATCCCAAGATGTTTTTGGTAATTCTCCTTAATGTCTGCTGTAAAATTTTTTAGGATGTCAGTTCAGAGAATTTGGTATTGGATCAACTAATAATCTCCAAACTGTTATTTTTCTTCATTTCCCGCACTAGCCTGCTTGATATTGTGAGGAAACATTCTTTCTCAGTCACTCACGGGAGTTGAAGGGTCAAAATACATTGTCTCATAGCTGCACAGAAGATAAACAAATATGTAATTTTAAAAAAAGGTAACTGAATGAAACTTTCAGACCTGTTTGTTTTAAAAATATTTTCAAGAATCATCAAACTAAAGAGTGATGTGTCAACATCTTCAGACATCAGAATCTGTACAAAGCGCTTGGATTGCAGCACTGCAAAGAAACAGAAATAGACTCACATTAGATTCACCCGCATGCACACAAAATAAGGAAATTATGATCAGACAGTGGAATGTCTATAATTTCTGTTTTCCAAGAACATCATTATACAAATGTACATGACTTTTGAAAGTTTCACTTTTCAGCAAAAGTTTCATGCCTTTCAATTGTAAGAAATCAAAAACAAACTTGAGCAAGCAAACTTTTCCTTTGCTGATGTCTTTTAAGTGGAACTCATATAGTGTTGCACCCAAAACAATTTCTTCACTCAAAAATACTTAATATTTAAAGAAGTCTATTCCAACTTTGAAAATGTATGTTTTAAAACAGATTTTTACCAAATTGGAGCAATTCTCATGTAATGACAGGTCACCTATAGCCTAGCTTTGTTGATCACAGTTTGGAAAACATTATAATCACATGTATACTTACTGATATGTATTGTACTAAATTTATAATTAGGAGACTTTCTATATTTTTTTATCTAGATCTTTTTCTTCACAATTTTTAAAGTAGTAGGGTCTAGATGAAAATTACTCTTTGAACCTCTGGTTTATCCTGCCTTTTAAATGAAGTGTTGTTGTTTTGTTTTGATAGGAAGTAGTCTATTAAATACATACACATGATTTGTACAAAATTAAGGCAAGTTGCATCAAATACCATTGAAAGTGAGGAAAACATGAAAACTGTAAAGCCACTCCATGGAAATCAGTGTTGTCCTAAAATTTTGAAAATGTTTCTGTTTTTCCGTCATCTATTTCAGGAAGAAGAGAACAAATCAGAGTAAATATTTATAATGTCTCAAGGATATCATAAGAAATCTAGATATTAAAAGCAGTTCCTGAAGTGTTTAAGTCAATAAAAAATATTTACATTTACACCCTGTCAGGTGAAAGGGCATGTCTAAATGGCCTTGTGGGCCATTTCTACCAGAGTTTGTAAAATGTTCTTAAGAGACTTTTGGTGGCCAGCCTTTCCTGATGCTTTCAATTAATCTTCTCTTTCAAGTCTAATAGTGAATTCCTTTGGGCATATAGGAAAATAAGGAAAAAGTCGTAATTTTTCTTAGTTCAAGACTGGTATTGAACATAATCATTAAGCTGGCAGTGCTTAAGAAACAAGAAGCCAGTGAAAATACTAGCTGATGGTGCACTGCCACTGTACAGAAATATCTTTGGTTTCATTATATTTCATTTCTAATTCTGACGTGGGGACATTTTGTATTCTATTCTCATCTTACCTTTCCCTACTAAATTTTCTAATGAATAAAATTTACTAATGAATACTCACCCATTGTGGAAAATCTAATGTGAATTAGGCTAAACATGACTAATCTACCAAAGTAGAACATCTTACCACTCTTGTTTTGACAACGAAGTCAAGCAACTTTGCAGCCAAAGACAAGATATTCTCAACAACATCAGGGAGAAATTTTTCTTCATACTCAGGCATTTCTGGAAGTTTGAGACCCACACAGCTCTGACATAAAATGGCTCCCAACTGGGTGGCAGTGTCCCACCCTCCTGCTATTGCAGCAAAGTCTTGCTTCAAAGCTTAAAAAATAAAATCAAAGTTGATATTTTGTTCAGAATAAAACTTGAATGGAAAGCACTAATCTTAACAATTTTTTTTAATCATTTCCAACCCTGTGAAATAATATTCCAGTAGAAAAATGGAATGTTAGAAGAGTAGCTCTTGCGAAGTGATCTCAATCTGGACACCAAAGTCTGATTTTGATAGATTTCAATGCACTTTATTCGTACCTAGGTTGCAAACTTGAATAACATCATAATTCCACAGATGATTCCTGAGAACTTCTCCCAAGCTACTTCTCGGAGGAGCCAAGTCGAGGATGTCTGACAGAAAAAATAATCACAATACATCAACTATCATAATTCGCTTATACCTCAACACTTTAGTGGGTAAGCTGAGGGGAAAAACTGTACTCTGAAAGCCTTGGAAATTAATAAGCCCTTCTGCAGCTAATTAGACTATTCATATAATTTTCTCCAGCAGTTCTTGGGAGACCAGGTCAGTTTTCAAATCTTCACCTTGTTCATAGAATATTCACGATAAGTAATTACTAATGACCTTACATTAATGTTTCAGAAAGTTACGGATAATTTTCATCAGCTCTTGGGATTTCGGTAAATTTTCCGCACAGCCCCATACTATTGTAAAACAAATCTGTTTTCCCAATGGAAATGTATTGTTTTTGTCATTGTTTTCTCTGTTCAAGAACTGAATGCATAATGTAGTATGGGGCTGTGCGGAAATTTTACCGGGATTTCAGTTCAGTTTTAAACTTTCCACCTTGTTCACAGTCTGCTATGATGAATACTTAAGCTCAATACTTGCCTTGCAAATTGACTTAAGCTTAATTCGAATGGTTACATTTGTTATGCATACAAATTGCTAGCCTAACTGATGTCAAACTGTTAGCCTAACTTATGGAAAAAATATTGAACAGTGTACCTTTCATTTGTAACAGTAAAACAGGGACATTACTGTCGTCCGTTTCAGCTACTTCGGCTGCTAGATGCAAGGCTCGTTCGATAATTTGCTGTGTTCGTTCATCGCTTTCCATCGATTGAAAACTATTAATTTATCATTTACCAAAACAAAGAACTCTGTCTAAAAATTCTTTCAGCCTACTAATTTGACAGGCCATTTTATTTTGTCACCACTGCCACTGTTCTTGTCAACTTTTGGGTTATGGTTGAATGGAGCCAAAATATTGTGAATTGAATCGAGAAAATCTTCAAATTGACTTATTTCAAAATGGCCGCCTAATCAGCTAGGGCTTAGTAAGGTCGTGCCAATTGACCAATGACAGCAGCTGTAATTTGAAATTGCCATGGAACCTACCAATCAGAAGGCGCGTTATGAAACTAATTCGCGCGGGAAGGCCGTTGTTCCCGAAGTCCCTGGTTGAAATAAATAGCGAGGTACAGCGACTAACTGAAAAGTTCTGCGTACATATATACAAGATTGAAAATGGGAAAGAAGAAAACAGCATTGGAAGGGAAACAGCCAACTATAGAACAAGAGAGTGTTGATGAGGAGATATATGAAGTGGAAAAAGTAGTGGGCAAGCGTATACATCAGGGAAAGGTTGAATACCTTCTTAAATGGAAGGGATATTCTTCCAACGATAATACCTGGGAACCCGAGGACAGTTTAGACTGCTCAGAGTTACTTCAAGAATACGAAAAGAATAAGGAAAGACATGAGGCTAGGCTTGAGGCTACAGTAAAAAAGGAGAAAAAAGAGAAAAGGAAAGAACCCAGGTTTGTGAAATTTGTTTGGAATATTTACATGGTTTGTTCGCTCACGTTGCGAATGTGAGTATTTGTCTGTGATCTCAAAGGTTTAATTAATCTTCCAAAGTCATTACTGATTCCTCTGAAAACGAACACAGCAGAAGCTCTTGGGAGTAAGATGGTAAAATAATTGTTCATGTAATAATTAATGGAAATCTTTCTCGCCGTATCGTACATGTAGTCTTAACTTTCCGTATGCTTATGTAAGATTTTTTCCAACAGTCAAGTTACTTGCCTTTTGGTATCACTTTCGCATATGGTGGGTTAGTTCTCCATGTCTTACACAGATATGCTGCATTTATCATCGAAGACAATTGGGGGGAATTAAACTGATCGTAAAAAATTTGCGATCTGTAAGTGCACTTGATGCCCCAAACCTATGGTGCATCTTGTGCTTGTAGTAACATTGGATTACGTCAGATTGGTACAGCTCAATAAATTGAGAGTTTGATGTACATTTTTATTGAAGCCCAAAATGTTTACAGTGTAATCTTGATGTTACTTGTATACTCATCACCCTTTTTGGGTCAGATTTGGCATCAAGAGGTCGTTATTAAACATGTAAACACGAAATTACAGTGCTTTACTTATTAAAGAAAATAGGCCTCATGTATGCACAAGGTGTTATTATTATTTCTCATTTCGATGGCTGAGCATTAAGTGACCACAAATTTTCCTAAGGCTTTAAATTAATTATTGTTTTTTTGGTGTTGTTTACACCTCATTGTATTGTGTGTTTTTTCTTCACAATTTATACTGTTAACCCATCAGACCCTAACATGAATACTCTTATTATATGGATGTGAGTGTTTTACCGACTACCAAAACATTCATAGAATCAATACGACCATTACATTTGCAAATGGAGTGGTCTGTCTTTCATATGTAACACAAATGGCAATATTGAGCAACAAAGTCACAATTCCCTGCCTTTTCAAACTTTGAGGAATGAACTTTGTTTGTGTGTTGTTTGGTATATTAAATAGCTGCAAGATTTGTTTTGGTAAGCAATGAAGATGTAAATGCACTTCCCAAACAACTAGAGAACAAGAAAACCAAAATAGAATTCATTTTCATTGAAGATTTTCAAGGAATTCTTGAAAGTTGCAACAAAATTTCAGTTCTGTGTATGCTGAATAACCTTCAAAGGTTCGTAGTGAAAAGAGGCTAAAAATGAAAGTATGTATGTGTAATAATTCAAGTCAGAGACAGTAATAAAATGCTCATTAAGCCCATTTAACCAGTTCACACAGGGCAGGAAATTGATTTTTTTTTCTGATTGCCACTTGGCTCCTAAATTCTTTGACGTAGTAGCCAATTCAAAAAAAGTTGGTCACCATTTTCAAAGACAAACAAAACCTTTTTTTATGCTGTCAGTGGTCCAGATAGACCCTCCAAAATTAAGTTAGTGAAAAGATCTTTTTGTTTTGTTTATTTTTGGATATCTCACTCATGAGATATTATTCTTGCTATTTGAAAATTAAGTTAATATCTTCTTGCCACCATGTAATATCCTCTTTATATTCTCCACACTGTTCTCTATACATTTTTTAAGGTGTTGACAAGGAGAATTTGTTTAACAACCAAGAGCTTCTCTAGTTGATGATGATTTCATTTATTCTTGTGAATTTGATGTGAGATTCAGGGGGTGATATTGTTTGGAGAAATTAGATTCTAATCCCTCAAAGGGGACAAGAGGTGGAAGAGGAGATGTTCTAGATTTTAACTAAAATTAGTGTTGTTCTAACTCAACCTTCTTTCTTCAGTGAAATTAAGGCTGAAGGTAAAAACAAGAGACGAAAACTTGCAGAAACAGTTGGTGGTAAGAAGGAAAAATCTTACCAGCAAGCAAATGAGTCAAATGATGTCACTGAAGAGGAGCCTGGAAAAGAAGATGATGTAGATCCCCTTGCTGAAGGGTGGGAAGCCTCTGATATTCTTGGAGCCACAGATGTGGAAGGGAAGGTTCATTTCCTTATAAAATGGTAAGTTTGGGTTGACTTGTGATGGTAGCCTGCATTTTAGGCTTGTTATTAGAGCAAGTTAACATTACAAGCTCACAGTTCTTTACTCAACCAACCATGTTTGATTTAGAGTTGGAATGAACAGTGGGGAAAGAGGACAGAGAAAGGCAAGAAGATGAGACACCCTTTGATTAGGTGTGCATCTCTGCATTTCTGGAAGTGAGCTTATAACCAATCAAAAGTAGTTTATTTAAAAAACTGGAGGCACTGTCTTCCAACAAAAACAAACACATGCAGAGCTAATGACAAAACAGTTTCTTTCAGGAAGGATAGAAATGGCTGAGAGAAAACCTCCTCTGCAGTTATCTTTACACATATATCTTCATAAAGAGGAATATCTTCCTCTTGATGACCTTGTTACAAATTAAGAAGACCAAAAGGTGCAAAATGATGATAAATGTTGACTTTTTTTGTAATTTATTTTTCCAGGAAAGACACTGATAGAGCAGATTTGATACCATCCACTATTGCAAATAAAAGATGGCCACAGATAGTTATTAAGTTTTATGAAGACAGGGTAACATGGACCCAAACAAATGATAAGGAGGAAAATGGGGACAGCTGAGGGAGTTTTTACTCATCATCTTTTTATTTGGCAGCTTGATGTTTGTAAAAACTATCTGAAATCAGTTGCTGTATAGGCTTATCACTGTTCTACCTAATCTGCAACAAGACTATACAAATTGCGTGGAAAGGTTTTTACGTCAAGTCAGAAGGACACATGAGGCACAAGTTTGTTTGCTTTGATGTTCTCAGCATCTGTTTTGTTTATTTTTGGATACTTTTTAACAACAACACAACAATAGCTAGTTCAGGGTTTATGATGTCAATGATACCTTTGAAAGTTAAGGAATTCTACATTATAATTTTCCAGGCCTTGAAAGTTGTGGTGTGTGCCATCTTTATCCCTGAAAATGACTGGAAATAATATATTTAAGAATGACAAGGAAAAGAAATACCTTTATTTCCTAATTGATTCTATATTATTTTTGAGCCATTTCTCAAGATCAATGATAACAGCAAAGAGGACCAGGAAAGGGTCAAAGAAAAGCAGGGCATTTTATGATTTTAAAAGAAATACAACCTTGTACAATAGATCCTGTTTTTGAGATTAAGGAATATAAATGTAGTTTCGGATGGCAAGTGATGATAATAGGACTGAGTGGAGTTCAATTAAGTCTGTTACTGTACAAGTGAGTAGTGAAATTGGACAAGCAGGAAGTGAGAATCCAACTTGTTATTAGAGTATTATTAAAGACAATTGGATGAAACAAAGTCCTGTTACCAATTAATCAAAACTATGGCAAAATTTTTAGACTCAAATTCATTTTTAATGTTATACATTTTCATGCAAAAAAACAACAGTTAACCTGGCGAAATGTGAGACAACAGAGCATGTATGTTGTTCATTTGTACAGCCATTACACGCACACTGTCCAATTACATAGACTTGATGCATACATTGTCCAATTTCAAGCATGACTCGTTCACTGTCCTATTGGTGCTCAAATCTGGCTGGTGATAACCAATCATGGTAAATAATTTTGTTCTAGTTTTGATTATGTTAGAAATAACTACCATTTATTCTACTTGTTTTAACTCAAGGGATTGTGTGTACTTTGTAAGTAAAGACTTGTTTATTTTATGAGCCTATGTTATGCGCAATGTAGAAATAAAACAAGAAATAACATGTTAACCCTTAAACTCCAAGAAGTGATTAACATGTACCTCCCCTCCAAAAACCATACATTATCCAACAAACAGTAATTAATGAGAATACTTAAACTGATCAGGTAGAAGTTGTTGTCTTGATCCAACCCTAAAGTCTTGTATCTAATTTACAGGGAATTTGTAACATCTAGAGGGTACAATTCACTAACAAATCTTAGGAGTTAACCATTTAACTCCCACATCAAATTTGTAAGTCTCCCTGTCAACCATACAATTATAATATTAGTTCAGTTTGGATCAATTAGTTATCCCCAAATTGATGTTTTTCTTTATTCTCATTACCTATCTGGTTGATGTTGTATAAATATTTTTTAAGGAAAAATTCTGTCTTGGTCACTCATGGGAGTTAACCCTTTAACATCCATAAGGGGTTAAAATAGTATCTTTTACAATGACATGGTTTTGCAATCCAGTCATTTATAAGCTTTTCTTTTTAAGACCCATTTGAAAAACCATCATCTTAGACTTGAAAATATCCGGGTAACGATCCAAGGAAAAGCCAAATTCTTGCCAGCAAGATGATGGAAATTTTGTTGGATCAATATCAGTATCTGTGCAACTGCCCACCTACCCCTCCCCTAACTTAACAACAGTCAATTGACAACAACATAAGGTTAATGTTGGATTAGGGGAGGGGTAGGTGGGCAGTTGTTCAGATACTGATATTGATCCATTTTGTTAATGAAGAGGGAACAGCTTACAAAGTAGAT